AGACCGTTAGACCGTTAGACCGTTAGACCGTTAGACCGTTAGACCGTTAGACCGTTAGACCGTTATACCTTTAGACCGTTAGACCGTTATACCTTTAGACCGTTATACCTTTAGACCGTTATACCTTTAGACCGTTATACCTTTAGACCGTTATACCTTTAGACCGTTATACCTTTAGACCGTTATACCTTTAGACCGTTAGACCGTTAGACCGTTAGACCCTTATACCTTTAGACCCCTATACCTTTAGACCCTTATACCTTTAGACTCTTAGACCCTTAGACCCTTAGACATGTGTGTAAACAGAGAAGACTTGCTATATTTAGCAATCCATTACCTTCTATTTTAATTTTTTTTGTAAGGTAAGACATAATAATTTAAACAATACTTTCGTCCATCAATTACTGAAATGTTATTTTTTTTTACACACTGATCTTCTCTTTCCTTTTTTTTCAAATACAGTTTATTTCCGTACTCACGGTTTTATCCTCGTCGCCAATGTATTTTGAATTCTGAATTTCTTTTGAATAAACTACTTCTGTTAAATTCATTTGACACTGTGCATCAAACCATTTTTCAAAATTTACTAAAAGTGTTCGCCGCGGATGACAGATATTAGGTAGATAAAACCAAAGTTTGGTCTCGTGGCCTTACCGTTCGCTGCCGTTGGTACGTAAGGTCGGCGGTTCAAATCCGAAGCCACTATTTTTTTAATATATAAGCTTTTTAATTTTAATATCGAAGCACATGTAATTAAACTCTATCGCCGTAGTTATTAGGTAATTTTTGATATTGCCTTGGACTAATGAGTTTGACCGTTAAAGTACTTTTCTATTTCAAACAAAAATGAAGGAGATAAAGCGATGCTATTGGCATGTAATTTGTTTATTCCTCATGTTTATTAAACTTCTACCGGTAAAAATATCACGTTCCCTTTACTGATACTGATTATATTTACGAAACAAGGAAAAAAACCTGAATGTCAATATCCAAACTACATCAAATTTTTGGTCGATTGCAATAAACATTCCAGTGTGCGTGGGCGCGCACACATATGTAGATAACACTTGTACGTATAGATTCCGCGCATACCATTCATAAAACCCGCAATGACAATCCACGCTCCGCCCACTCACTTCACCCCGCGATGGTCTGACCGAATACTTGTTAACTTTATTTAAATTTCTTTCTACCCGACAGCGAAAATTATAAAATAAAAAAAAATTGTCGAGTAAAATTTTACACTACCAAATTTTTACTGGTTATGAAAAAATAACCCTGTATAAGTCATTGATAAAATGAAAAAAAAGTAGCCTGAGATTCGAACCGGTAAACTTACATTTTTTTTTATATCATAAGGCGGCAAACGAGCGAGCGGCCACCTGAAATCGCTGAAGTAGCGAAGTGACCGTTGCCCATAGGCATACGCAATTGCATATGCGTTACCTACCTTTAATCGACAGAAGAGAGGATGCACAGAAAGAAAATATTTTCCCTTTCCATGCATCCACTTCCACTTCCCATGCTTTCCTTATAAGAAAAGGGTGTTAAGGGAAAGAGGACTAAATTAAACTTTTATATTTAAGCGTTATGACAGGAGAAGAAAAATATTGGGTTGCCCAATAAGTTCATGCTGCTTTATAAGGAAAATTGAAACCCTGTTCTCGTAAATTTTTGGAAACATTTTTAAATTATATTGGTACGACTCTACACCTAAAACGTCTTTTATATTTGGCCAAAAATTTAATAATTAGTATTTATCTCAACCAATGAAATGAAATTATACACAATATAGAAATTTTTGTGACGTTTGATAATGGTGGAAATCCGAAAATGAATCCACTTCAGCTACAGTCTATTGTAAGCTTCATATCGAAAATCGGAACGAACTTTCCGGACAACCTATAATGTTAATACAAAGTTGCAAATGAATGTAACAGAAGTAGTTTATTCCAAATTGTATCACAAGTATATAGAGATAGAGTTCAATTTTGTCAAATGTTACGATCTTTTTGCGCACCTTGACTGCTTCGTTACTTATGACGCTGTGGCTGCTACGATGTATTTGAGCAGGGTGAATGTGTCTATTAATTTGAGGTCTTTTGTTGTACCGATATAATTGATTACTTTTGGTGTACCTATATATTTGCATATCTTGTCTGTTACGATCTATATGACGCTGACTGTACAACCCTTATTGTGTGCAATAATAATCCACCATATCGATCCACTATAACAATACCACACTGATGTGATTTGCAAAGGTAGATTATCCCTTTATAATTTACAAATACTATGAACAAAAAAAAATACTCCATTGTTTTCCTTAAATAAATAAAAACCAATTCATAAACCAGAGATCTTTTTAGTGACGAGTGACGCATATTTTCATTGACATTTTTGACATCAACACGACATTTTTATTGTCAAGTAACCTGGTTAATTTTATATTGTGTCTTTGATAATAAAATATTCAACAAAATGCCGGTCGACTGCCAAAGATCGACAACGGGTGGGAAAGGAAACCTAGGCATGTTTTATGATCGTAGTCCCAAAATTTGTGCTGCAGGTCTTCCGACTCAACAGCCAGATAATCGAATTGTTGATAACTTGCAGCATTACCTAGTGAAGGATGAAGTAGACTCACTTATAAGTGACGCTATCATGCCTCCGGAAGTCCCCAGACCTCTTCCACCTTTACGTCGTCCAATACCACTAGATATGCGTAATGCTGGAATATACGGAGAGGGCGCAAATATCATAAACCCACCAAATAAAACAAAATTTCGGGCCCTCGTTGAAGATTTTAAGGATACCAGTTATTCCTCCTATTGGAAAAAAGCACTCGGAAAAGTTCAAGATCCAATACCAATGCTTCCCGAAGGACTAGATGTGTACAACACGACCTTTGGGAGAAAATTACACGATCAAGAAACGCTATATGATGTTGTTTTCCCAAAAGTACCTCTTGAAGACAAAACGTCAGTATCAGGATTTCCCGCCGCCCAAATAGATCGAAAATACTGTACACCTCCATTTAATCCAGATTTAACATATGGACATAGATCTTATATAGACAAACGTGGAATACAGGTCAAAACTTGCTTGACTGATGATAACGTAGTTGTTGGAAATGGAAATCGAACTGTGTTAAATACAATTCAATCCACTTACAAAGAATTCTACAATGCTAGACCTGGAAAAGTTTTAGCTCCCAATAATAATATTAACGAAGTCCCAGATGGCTACTCATTTGGAATTTTAAGTAAACCTGATAATCTTAAAGAGTGTCTAAGTATCTGTGAAATTAATCCAGAATGTGAATTTTACAGAAAATGCTTAGCTCATCTTAATACTGTTCGTAAATGTATGTCAACTCGATTTCTGCCCCGGT